TCGCCCAGGCTCGAGGGAAACGGATCGAGCGCGCCCGACGCCCATGCGGCCCCGCACCCGTTCGCCCGCGTTGGCCTGGATGCAGGCGGCGGCGGGGCAGGGCCCAGAAGCGACGGTGCTCTCGGCGTTTACCTTGCCTTGCGCAGGAGGCAGGCATGGATGACATCATCGCCGATCCCGCGCCGCCAGGCTGGCAGACGGCGGAGTGCCCCGGCAGCAGCAGCAGCGACCCCTCGCCAGAGGCGAAGCAAGGACCGACGCTCATCCCCGTCCACAATCAGGTCGCGGCGCCGAAGTCGCCGCCACGTCGCACCCGAGACGCTGGCGGCACGTGGCGGGCGGAGCAGCAGCAGCAGCAGCAGGAGGTGCAGCAGCAGCAGAAGCAGCAGCCGCCGTCGGAGAAGCCTCAGCCGCCGTGGCGCCAGGCGCAACCGCCAGCAGCCGCGCCCAACGTGGGCGCCTCAGGCGCGCCCAACGTGGGCGCCTTCGTCGCCAAGGTACCCGAAGTGCCGAAAGCGTCTGCGGCGCCAGAGGACGTGGTGCAGGCGCACAAGTTCTTGCGCTCGCTGCTGAGCGAGAGCGCGCCGATCGCCTGGAACTCCAAGCGCGTCCAGGAGCCACTGGAGCTGCTGCAGCGCTACGTCGGCATCTGGGGTCGCGCCAGCAGGGGGCCGCCCGCGCCCATGCACGGTGGCCCGCAATTCTGGCGCGGCCAGACGTGGCGCAAGATCGGGAAGCGCTGGGGCAACCGTGGTGGTTCAGGCCCCAAGTCGGAGTGGTACGCCTCCAAATACGGCCGCGCGCCACCGCGCCGCTCGCTCAAGGACAGCGGCGGCGGCCCGTACCTCGCGCCGACGCCGCCGCCGCCACCGCCGCCACCGCCGCCCCCGCGGCCGACGGCCGCGAGTTCGGCGCCCGCGGCAAAGGCAGCGGCCGTGCGGCCGCCTCCACTGCCCCTGACGGTCAAGGCGATGCCTTCCAAGAACCGCGGGCTGTGCCTCTGAGACTCGCGGGCCGCGGGCTTTGACAACCCCCTCGGAGGTCAGACGCCGACTGAAACATCCATGAGGGGCGGGGGGACGTGAGAGCGGAGAGGTGATGGACGGTGAGCCAGGAGACAAATGGAAAGAGAGCGGAGTGGAAGTTTCAGTCGGCATCTGATTTTCCGATTTTCCGGTGCCGTTCTTCGCCGCTGGCGGCTGTCGCGGTAGGCGTGCGCCGCGCTCGCGGGACCGTTCGCGAATATCCTTTTGCGCGCGTCGCCAGCAAAAAAATCGGCGGGGCACCGCCTGTCATGGGCTCTCGTCGGCGGCACTCCGCCTAACTTCGGCGGTGCACCGCCCGCGCGCGCTGGACTCCCAGCACTCCCCCCCATTCAGCTTCGGCGGTGTACCGCCTGTGCGTGCTCCACGCTCCCAGCACGCCTCCTCCATTCCTCTTATGATGTTTTCCGCAGCCGCAGGCTCCAGGCTGCGCTTGCGCCGCGCTTTTCCCGCGCGCGCCTTCGCGGGCGCCCATCCGCCGTCCTCGGCGCGCTCTCGCAGCCTTCGCGGCCGCCTCCCTTCGCGCCGTCTTTGGCGCGCTCTCGATCGCGGGCCCCCAGTGCGCCATCGAGCTCTTCTCTTCGCGAGATGCTCATGATCAGCGTCTTCGGGTGCACGTGCCCGTTGTCGGGGACCTGCTCGAAAGGCGGGAGTTTCTTCAAGGGCGCGTCGCGAGATGAGGCCCTGTCGAGGCTCAAGACGCACTTGGTGAAGTCGAGCTACCACCTCCTCGAGGATGTCGACGCGGATCTTCAACTGGCCATCGCCGAGGTCGGCGCGCCCAAACGATTGCTTGCCCACGTCTTTCGGCGAACCTCGGTGGCGCTCGGCTCACCGAGGTCCGAGCGCCTTCGAGGTTCGACGAATGGCGCGAGCGATCGCGGGGCGCGCTTGAAGGTCGAGGAGTGGACTGAGGACACGGACGAGTGGGAGCGCTGGCAGAAGGCCAACGACGAGCAGCGGTGCAAGAACAACCGCCGCCGTGGCGCTCGCAGCGCGCCGTACCAGCCTCCCGAGCAGGTCGCTCCACTCAGCCAGAGTGCAGTGGCGGCGGCCTTCCCGAAGGGCAGCGGCAAAGGCGGTCCGCTTCAGCTCAACATGAGCGGAGCGAGCGCGCCCGTCAGCGCCAACATCGCGCCCGAGGCCACCGTGCAGCTGAACTCAGCGCAGGCGCAGGTGATCCTCGACAGCGTCACGAGGGCGAGGATGTGCTCGGCGGCCTGCCTGGCAGTGGCGGAGCGGTCGGCCGTGGCGTTCCGCGCCGAGCAGGCGGCCCTCGCCGACCTGCAGGAGACGCTGGCCAGCTGGCTCTCCAACAACGCGTCGTGAGGCCACGTTGGGGTCCTCCCGTCGCGGCGGCGTCGGCCGCCCCCTTCGGCCGCCTCGTCGGCCGCCCTCTTCGGCCGCCTCGTCGGCCTAGCAGCCCGCCGCGCCGCCCGCGCAGGGCTTGCATCGGCCGCGTAGGCCGCCTTGGGCCCCGCGGGGGTTCGACGCCGACTGACAGATCGGGGAGGGGCACGGTGAGGGAGGTGCGGAGGGAAGGGGCATGGAGAGGAGCATGGGAGGGGGGTGCGGCATGGGGAGGGGCATGAGAATCGGGGTGGGGCGGAAAGGCTGTCGGTCGGCTTCTGACCCCCGCAACTCTTCGGCGCATCCGCGCGGTCGCTCGCGCGCGCGGGCCGTGCGCGCACTCTTATTTTTGGCGGGTCCGCCATTCTTTCTTGGAAAACTGCGATCATCATCATCAACATCATCGTCATCAACATCACCACCATCATCATCATCATCATCATCATCATCATGAGTAGCATTGCCATTCTCATCCTCATCATTCCGATCACCCCCATAGGAGGAGAAGGAAGAGGAGGAGTGGCGGCGAGGAGAGGGCGAGGAAGAGGAGGAGGGGAAGGAGGAGGAGGAGGAGGAGGAAGGGGGGGGGGAGGAGTCCTTCCCCACCACTTTTCATCATCATTCTCACCATCATCATTCCGATCACCACCATCGGAGGAGGAGGGGGAGGAGGAGGAGGAGGAGCAGCAGGAGGAGGAGTGGTGAGGAAAGAGAATGAGGATGAGGAGGAGGAGAGGGAACGATCTCGGCGCGGCTGCGATGAGGGCTGGTTTCCTGCGCCGCGTATCGCGGCGTATCCTGGCGTATCCTGGCGTATCCTGGCGCATCCTGGCGTATCGCGGCGCATCGCGCGACGGCGCGACGCGATGCGCCAGGATACGCCAAGATACGCCGCGATACGCCAGGATACGCCAGGATACGCCCGTATCCTGCCGTATCCTGGCGTATCCTGGCGTATCCTGGCGTATCGCGGGGTGCCGCGGAGCGCGATGCGCCAGGATACGCCAGGATACGCCGCGATACGGGCGTATCCTGGCGTATCGCGGCGTATCCTGGCGCATCCTGGCGCATCGCGGCGCGCCGTCGCGCGATACGCCAGGATACGCCAGGATACGCCAGGATACGCCAGGATACGCCGCGATACGCGGCGCAGGAACGCAGCCCTCAGCGCAGCCGCGCCGAGCTCGTTCCGATTCTTCGGAATCGCCATCACCATCACCATCGCCACCTCGCCATCTCACCTTCACCACCACATCGCCATCGCCACCTCGCCATCACCACCTCACCATCACCAGAAATCATCGTCAGCACCTCGCCACCACCATCATCGCCACCACCAGCATCATCGTCGTCACCACCATCAGCATCACAACCTTGCCACCGCGTAGTCGTCGGCGGCGCACCGCCCATCGGTTGGACTTGTCCGCTGTGCTCCGCCCTTTGTTTTGTTTGACGTTTCCGTCGGCGGTGCACCGCCCATTGCCTGGTTGCACAATTTCGTCGGCGGCGCACCGCCCATGGATCGTCGTTGTCGGCGGCGCACCGCCCATTGTATGATTAGACAATTTCGTCGGCGGTGCACCGCCCATCGGTTGGACTTGTCGGCGGCGCACCGCCCAATTTATGATTGGGCAATCTCGTCGGCGGTGCACCGCCAATCGGTCGTCGTTGTCGGCGGCGCAGCGCGCATTGTCTGGTTGCACAATTTCGTCGGCGGCGCACCGCCCTTCGATCGTCGTTGTCGGCGGCACACCGCCCATTGCATGGTTAGACAAGTTCGTCGGCGGCGCACCGCCCATCGATCCTCGTCGTCGGCGGCGCACCGCCCATTGTTTGCATGTATATTCGTGAGCGCCACGCCGATCATTTGTTTTCCTTGTCGCGGCTGTCGCATCGCGCCGCGCGTTTTCGGCGGCGCACCGCCTGTTGTTCAATTGTGTAGGCTGTGTTGCGCAGCCTTGTCCACTTCTCCAGAACCAACCTGCTCTCTCATCCGCCTTGCCCCTTGTTCCCTTTCATCCTCGCGCCGTGTTCTCGACAGCCGTTTTGTGCTGGCGGTCGGCCGCGGGGGCCGCGGCGCCGCGGGCCATGGCGGCCGCCGAGGAGGAGTCGCCAGTGCCCCCCTTCTTGCACGAGGGCGTCAAGTCACCCGTGCCGTCCGAAGACAGCTCGCAGGAAGAAGGCTCGAGGCCGCAGGCAGCAGACTCGTTCAAGAACGAGCCGCAGGAAGCAGGCTCGAGGCCGCAGGAGCTTGGTTCTGTGAAGGCCGAGGAAGGCGACACCTCGGCGGAGGCCAGTGCAGCTCCGCCTTGGCCCAAGGCCTCCTCGCCTGCGACTCCGCAGGAGCCCCCGCAGCGCGTGCCTGAGGAGGTCGCGGCCGCTGCGAAACCAGAGGCGGGGGAGGCGGGGCGGCCTCTCCTCAGGCGCCCCGCCGCCGTGCCGCCCGCCAAGCAGCCCCCGTCGCAGCGCTCGCTTTCTCAGTTCTTGACCGCGAAGAAGGGCGGCGGCGCACCGCCTGCGAAGGCAAAGGCGAGCGCGGAGCCCACGGCAAAGGCCAAACAGAAAGCGAAGAAGAAGCCAGCAGCGGCGGCACCTTCGACGGCGGAGGACGCAGCAGCAGGGGCGGACGAGGCAGAGCCACAGCAGCAGGCCCAGACGCAGCACGACAAGAAGTCGGTTGCAGCCTCGCAAGCACCGCCGGCAGCGGAGGAGGATGCAGAGCCACAGCAGCAGCGTCAGGATGCAGCGCCGACGGAGGCAGAGGCGGCAGCAGAGGGGCCGCAGGCCGCGCCCTCAGACACGTTCGAGGCCGCCACGGACGAAGCAAAAGATGACTACGGCCGCTTCACGACGGGCTACGACCCACCCTGTCCAGGCCCGACGTGCGCCAAGTGCGGTCGGGATGCGGAGGGCGTCCGCTTCAGGCTCGCCCAGAAGAGCGCCAACACGTGGTGGTGTGGGAGCTGCAACAGCAAGAGTTCGATGGTGCAGCGCTGCTATGCGCACTGGCCACCGCGCTCGTTCGCTCTCATGCGCAAGGCGGACCAGCAGGCGTTCTGGCGCTCGATGGACGACCCTTCCATTGAGAACAACGCTCAGTTCGAAGAGGAGCTGGTGAGGGTCCTCAGCGTCTCGAGGAAGGAACGCCTCACGGAGACCAAGGGCGGGGATTGGAAGCCCTTGTCCGTCTGGGCCAGGAGGGGTACGACGCGGACGCCGTCCGTGCCAACAACGACGTGAGGTACAATTCCGACTTGAAGCAGGATTGTTACCGCATCCGCATCGAGGGCAGCAGGCAGGAGAACATCGAAGAGACAGTGAGGCAGGAGCTCCGCCAGAACAGGAAGCCGCCGAGGCCATCCCCACCGAAGCATGAGAGAGCCGTGGAGCCACTCCCGCAAAAGACGCACCGCTCGCCGAGCGGTGGCTACGAGGGCCCCACAGGCGCTGGTCGCCGTTCGACGAGTCGGAGCGGCGACAGCGACTGTTCGCAGAACCGCCAGCTGAAGCGGGGCCACTCCAGCAGCGGCGACGGCACGGACCGCTTCCCCAGCCGCGGCCGCAAGCGCAGCAGCCGCGGCCGCAGGGCGGACAGCCGCCAGAAGCACCGCTCTTCCAGAGGTTCCCGCAGAGCCGACGCGAAGGGCCGCCGCTCGAGGAGCCGCAGGGCGCACAGCAAGAAGGAGAAGGCCCGCTCGAGGAGCCGCAGGGCGCACAGCAAGAAGGACAAGGCCCGCTCGAGGAGCCGCAGGGCGCACAACAAGAAGGACAGCCGCAAGACGGGTCGCTCCCAGTCTCGCGAGAAGCAGCGCTCGAGGAGCCGCAACGACCACGGCAAGAAAGGGAGGGACTCGCGCAGTCGCATCAGGAGGGAACGCAGCGAGCAGAAGCGTGTCCAGAAGGCCATCAAGGACCGCAAGGCGTTGGCGATGAAGACGCTGGAAAAGACGGGGTCCTGGGACGTGCAGCTCGCATCGCTCCTCGACGACGAGGACTGCTCCAGGGTGCCGACCTGGGCGGCGAAGAACGCGAAGGACAGCCACAAGGATCTCTCGAAGCTCAGGGAGGCCGCGAAGACCGCGCTCGAGGACCCCAGGGCGAGCTTGCCGTACGAGGCGAAGGCCCTGGAGGCAGCCCTCGCCGACGCAAAGACCGCTGTCGGTGGCCTGCGTTCGGCCATCGAGCACGCGAGCTGCTCAACGGCCTTTTCATCCATCGTGGATGGCGGTGCTCCGCCGATCGACCGCTCGACTGCCGATCGATCGATCGAAGATTTTGCTGATCGACCGCTCGACCCATCGAGGATTTCGCCGATCGACCGCCGACCGATCGCGTTCGGATCGGTCGACCGCCGATCGATCGATCGACCGCCGATCGAGCGCCGTTCGATCGCGATCGACCGCCGATCGATCGCGTTCGACCGCCGATCGATCGCGTTTGCGTCCCGATCATCCTTCTACAGGCCAAGAAGTACAGCATGAAGAACACCTCGAAGGACTGAGCTCGGCGGCGGCTGCCCTGCTCAGTCCCCAGCCGCTGCGACGCGCGCTGGGGCGCGCTGGAGGCGCGCTGGAAGTCTGCCCCCGCCCGCGCAGACTTCCCTCGCTTAGACAAAAACTATATTCCTCCGTGGTCCGCCTCCCTTTCCTCGTGCACGGCGTCCTTGTAGCCATGCTCCTCTTATTTCTGGCGGTGCACCGCCCATGGGCAGCATCCGCCGACGGCGGTAGTTTGCCTCCTGTCCACACCCCGCACTCTTCTGGCGGTACACCGCCCGTTGCCAGCCATCCGCCGACGGCGGTACTCCGCCTCCTGTCCATGCCCCGCACTCTTCTGGCGGTGCACCGCCCGTGTGCAGCCATCCGTCGTCGGCGGTACTCCGCTTCCTGTCCATGCTCAGGAGTCTTCTGGCGGTGCACCGCCTGTTGTCAGCCATCCGTCGTCGGCGGTACCCCGCCATCCGCCATCCGTTGTCACCCATCCGTCATCCGTTGTCAACCTTTTCCACCGCCTCACCCACCCTACTTCAACGGCTCGAAGGGCGCCCGCGGCGGCGCGCCAGGCGGGGGCGGCGCCATGGCCGAGCGATGGCCCCCTGCCGAGCGTCAGAGGCTGCAGGAGGCAGCGCTTCTGCGCCCGCGGCGGCGCGCCAGGCGGGGGCAGCGCCATGGCCGAGCGATGGCCTCCTGGCAAGCGGCAGAGGCTGCAGGAGGCAGCGCTTCTGCGGGGCGTATCGCGGGCGGCGCTGGACAGGTGCACGGAATCCAAAAATCATAATGCGCAATGTGTTTGAAGGATGTTTTGTTTGGTCGGCTTTTTCTTTTCAAAATACCCAACCGATCTCCACCCGCCTTCCCCGCGCAGGGTGGCTCGCGTCCTGCTGCAGGACGACGACGAGCACGTGGCGGCGGCGACCGTGGGCGCCGACGTGGCTCGCGCGGTGGCGCCGCTTCTGGATGTTATCGAATTGCCGCGCCGAGACGGTGGCCCAGCGTTCAGGTGGACTGTATGTTTGCCCGACAAGATCGTCCCCAAGCTGGCCCACGCGGCGGGGCCTTGGAGTGATCGGTTCTGGGCGGCGATGCGGGTGTTTCCTTCGTCGCCATCGCAACCGTGGCGGATGCTGCTCTACCACGACGACGTGGTCGTCGGCGCGCAGCTCAAAGCTGCAAACCGCAGGACGTCCATTGTTGTGTACATTAGTTTTTTGGAGCTGGGCACATACCTTCAAGAAGAGGGCGCCTGGCTCCCGCTGGGAGTCCTTCGGTCAGAGGACAAGAAGGATATCACCGCAGCGGGCGTGGTGAGGGCCATCCTGCGGCGCCTCTTCCTCGGGCCAGGAGGCGGCGGTTTCGACGTCGGCGCGTCTCGGTTGCATTTCAAGTGCCACAGGCTGATCATGGACGAAAGCGCGGGCAAGGACACCTTCTCGTACAAGGGCTCCAGCGGTTGGCGGCCCTGCTGCAACTGCAAGAACGTCGTGCTCGACCAGGGGACTGGCACCCTCAGCCGTTGGGACCCGTCTGGTTACCTGGTGGGTATCGCTTGCGTCGACGCCTCGAGGTTCGACCCGATGACTGCGGAGGCGTCGGGGGCGGGCAATGCGCGGCCGACGCTCGGCGAGTCCAGAGAGTTCACGAACGGACTTCGCGAACTCCCAGGAATTCGCGAGCGGAGTTCGCTCGGCCGGCCCCCGCCAAGGAGTTCGCGAAGGGGTAGTTCCGAACTCGTGGAACTTCAACGCACGGCGAGTGCAGTGGCCTTCCAGAATCTCCAATCCGCGTACGGCATCACAGTGAACGAGTTCTCGTTGATGGCCGACGTCGAACTCCGACGCGTTTGCTCGCTGGACATGTACACGCGCGACCCGATGCACATCATCCTGGCGAGCGGAGGCACGTTCCAGGTGGAGGTGTTCTGCCTGCACAAAGCAGTGGCGCGCGTGATTCCAGACGTGTGGGATCGGTGGCGAACCGATTTCCAGCGCTGGGCTCCAGGCCGCGGCGGAGGGAAAGCTCCCGTGCATCTCTTCTCCCCTGCCAGGAAGAAAGCCTGCGTCGAGGCAGGGCATTTCGTCGGCTCCGCGTCGGACTGCCTCGCCGTCCTGCCGTTCCTCAGGAACTGGCTGCACGTGGATTTCTTGCCGCATCACGCGCCGTTCCTGCCCCAGGCGCGGTCCTTTGAGGCCATGTATGCCGTCCTGGAACTGTACCTGGCGGCGAAACGCGGCGGCTGCCCAGACACGTTCGATGTTGATTTCAGCGCCATGTCGGGTTGGCGCTCAGGAAACACGTGCGGGCCTACACGGACGCGTGGATCGTGCCTAAGCATCATTATCTTTGGCACGCAGCTGCGCAGGCGGCGGAGGATGGGTCGATGCTCGACTGTTTCGTGCTCGAGCGAAAACACAAGCTCATCAAGGACACCGCGGAGCACTACGACCGCTTGGGCGGCATGGACAAGGATGTGATCACCCAAGTTGTGGCTACGTACTTGCACGAGTCCTCGGCCGCGCCGCGCCAGTCGCACAAATGGTGGCCGACCCCTGAGCTCGACGGGATCATCGGGCAGCGCGGTTGGGGCCAAATGGGCTTTGGTGCACGCGCGAGCCTCCACGGGGGGCGCGCCTGCGGGGGCGCCTCTCGGGGCAACGCCGAGGCTCGCACGTGCACCAGGGCCTATCCAGGCACGGCGCAATCACTTGTCGTCGAGCTGCTGTCGGCGGCCTCGTCTACGGCAGCGGGGACGTGTGGCTCGAGGGCGACGCCGCGTTCCACGTCCACTGCGTGGCGGTGGCCGCGGGGCGCTCCTACCTCATCGTGGAGCCGCTGGACCTGGCGTCGCGGCCTGCGCCTGGGGAGTCCGCGTGGCGGCCACGAGGAGGACCGAGCTGTGCAAGGAGGAGGGAGGGGGAGGAGGGGAGGGAGGGGGAGGAGGAGGAACAGGGGGACGAGGAGGAGGGGAGGAGGAGGGGGACGAGGAAGGAGAGGAGGAGGAGGAGGAGGAGGAGGAGGGGGACGAGGAGGATGGGATGGCCCACTACGCCGCCGCCCCATAGGATGCGGCGCGCTGGCTGCTGAGGACGCCCCGCGGGCGCCTGCGGCGTACACCCGCCGAGCCGAGGACGGGTCGGTCCGCGCGCTGGTGTAAAACGCGCGCGCGCGGCGGTGCACCGCCTGGCGGTGGGCCGCCTGTTGTAAAAAATCACGTTCGCGCGGCGGTAGCCCGCCTGGCGGCATCCCGCCTGGGGAAAAGGAGGGACGGAGAGGAGGGGAACGGGAGCGGGGCCCCGCAGGCTGCACGGATCGATGGCGACGCCGACGCGTTTTTGAAAGCGCCCCCGCCCCCCATTTTCCATACGAAAAAGCAGACTTATCGGACTTATAAATTAGATATAAGTTACATATAAGTAAGATATAAGTAAACTAGTTTTGATGAAGATGCTAGATATAAGTAAGAAGAAGTAACATACATGCAGCATGTAACATATGTCAACGCCATCACCAAAGCGGGTCGGCGCCCGAGCCGGCGCCCGGGCGCCAGAAAATCGAGTTCCGAGGCGGCGCCGAAAAAAGGCCATTCCAATACACATTTTTCTTTCGAAAATGCTGAATTTCTGCTTCCGGCGCCCGGGAAGCCGTCCGGGCCGATTCCGGAGCTCGGGCCGGCACCCGGCCCGGCTCCCGGGCCGGACGCCCGGGTCGGCGCCCGAGCCGGCGCCCGGGCGCCGGAAAATCGAGTTCCGAGGCGGCGCCGAAAAAAGGCCATTCCAATACACATTTTTCTTTCGAAAATGCTGAATTTCTGCTTCCGGCGCCCGGGAGGCCGTCCGGGCCGATTCCGGAGCTCGGGCCGGCACCCGGCCCGGCCGGCACCCGGCCCGGCTCCCGGGCCGGACGCCCGGGCAGTTCCGATCGCGCCGAAAAGAGGCCATTCCAATACACATTTTTCTTTCGAAAATGCTGAATTTCTGCTTGCGGCGCCCGGGAAGCCGTCCTGGGCCGATTCTGGAGCGGCTTTGGGCCGGACGCCCGAGCCGGCGCCCGTACGTGGTGCTTCTCTGCTTCTGGCGCCTGCGCAGCTTCCCGAGCCGCTTCTGGAACCATATCTGGGCCGGTCCAGCGATAGGTTTCCTGGATGTGCTGAACCATCCAACTTTTTGAAGCTTCTGCGTCTCAAGGATAGGGGGAGAAGACATTAAAGGAGGATCAAAAAGCAACGTCGCTATGAACGCTTGGCTGCCACAAGCCAGTTCTACTTACTTGGACTACCACTACCGTTACCACTACTACTAGTGCTACAGCCGCAACAACAATATCCTCAACTGCTGCTACTACAACTACTCATCCTTCCTCCCCCTCCTCCCCCTCCCTTCTCCTCCTCCCCCTCCCTATCTCTCTCATCTCCCCCTCCTCTTCCTCTTCCTCTCCCTCTGAGATGCGGGGCATGCGCAAGGCGATTGCGAAGGCGATGTGCCGTCCGAGCTATGGATGTTGAAGTTCCTCGGAAGAGGTGGTGGCCAAACCTTCTTGGGCGGGATATCTGGGTGAGGGAATATCGGATCCCGCATGCCAGAAAAATCCCCCATGATGGGGTGTGTTATCCAGATGGACGCATGTGTCATGTGGAAGCATGGCGCATGAGGGTAAAATGATTGTTGTTGTTGTTGTTGTTGTTGGGGGGCCGGTTTTGGCGGTCCACCAATTCGCTCGAGCGTGAGCCGC